AATCTATATAGATTGTTTCTGATATAGCATGTTAGCTTTTCATTCTTTTCTCCGGTAATAACACATTTACTCATGTAGAATGTGCTAATAAATCCCTCTTTAGCTAATTGGCTGATAGTAAATTGTGTTTTAGCTTTGGCACATATATTACATCTACTGGCTATGTCAAACATGGTAATTTTACTTTACCTTTGCCCATAATTTTGGCACTTACTCCATCAGCCAACATTACTTGTTGATCAAACACAGCCTTAAAATTGGATATCAGCTTTTTATCTTTACACATGTTAGCTGTTGTCCCTGAGTTGACAATCCATTCTTCTTCGTGGTGTTTGGTGTTATAAGTAGTCTCAGTCAGTTTTGATGCATCTTTATCACGTCATGGTTGTTTTCTTTCTTTCTTCTTAAATTTACATTCTTTAATTAGATGTCGTCTGGAACCATAGGCAAAACATCTCCTCCCAGGTTAGATATTCGCAGTTGTGACCTCCTCCCCAATTTCACTAGGCTTGTTTCTCTCATTAGAGGGTTTGAAGTCACGTAGTTGCTGATTATCTTTTCTCTTTTGCTCCTCCTCCAGAAGCCTACTGGTCACATTTAATACTGTCATCTCGGCTTGTGGAAGTACTTCTAAATTTGATACGGACTGGTCATATGTTTTGTCTAGTGAAGAGAGAATTATGAAAGCTTCCTGTAGCTCAGTAAATGTTATATTTTTCTCTCTTGAGTCCATTATCATTGTTTTCATTAGCTCTAAATGCTGGAGCATACTCCCACCAGTTTGCAATCTGGTACGAAATAGCCTTCTTGCAATTTGGATTTGGCTTCCAACGCTGACTCGTACAAATCCTCCCATGCTTTTCTTGCAGAAGTTTGGCCTCTAATATCGATTAGAGTCAACCCAATTATTGCAAGTGCTTTAGAATTTTGCATCTTTTCTTCATCATTCAGCACAGCTGGTGGATACTCAACAATGTCCCACAATGATTCCTTTTGGAGCAGTAACTGGACCTTTTGCTGCCAAGTGGAGTAGTTATCTCCATTTAGCTTCTTAATACACAGTCCTGACATTTGCACCTCACTTGCCATTTTCACAGACTGCAGACAAAGCTGTTTTTACTAACCTCTGCTGCTTACACACCTCTTGGCTCTTCCTTCTGGATTTACTCAGGTCAGCAATCTTACTGGTATCTTCCTGGGCGTGTACCTGGGCCCATAACCATTGACAGAGTAGCGGTAGCATAAGCCCACTAGCCATGCCACTCTTTAAATATCACAGTATTAGTGGTGTGAAATAGCTAAAATGAAACATCAGATAGTGTCAAAATCTACACTAAACATATTTACAGTGCAGCCCTATCAACAAATACATAATCTTTACTACTCCAGTCCCATTGCTCCTTATGTGGGGGAAGAAATCTCATTGTGTTCAGTAGTCTTGGTAAATAGTCTTTCTCTTTCTCTTTAGCAATATGTAGTGGCTCTTACTTACTGAGCTTACCTGTTAAGGTGTAAGAATGGTGGATCAGTATGTCTGTGTTTTGGAGAAGACTGCTCTGTACTATGATTTTCTTCCTTTTAAGGTTAGATTTTCATCCAAATATTTTTGTTTTATAATAACCACCACCATCTCCGTTTAGGGAATACTGTATTTGACATGATACAAAAGGTTCTGCTTGTGGTAATAGACACATACTAGTGTTCAATCTGAACAAATCACTACCGGGCAGGGCAATCCCTCCTGCAAAGAATAAGTGTGTGATTATACAACTTTTTACTGAAAAAACAAACTAGGTTTTTGATATAGATGCTTTCCTACCATGGGACAAAGTGAGGTGGCTTTCTCATACAGCCATTTTTGTATGTCTTTAAGAGAGAAGATGGACTGAGGGCACAAGGACCATGGAATGTAAGAGAATATTATGTGTCCTCAGGAATTGGTGAAGGTGGTTCCCTTTGGGTATTCTTTCTCTCAGGTGCCATGCTGAGGTTGGCAGACAGTTGCATACCAGGTATCAGAGGAAAAACCTGTCCTCCTGAGTCCAAATTTCAAGAATACTATTTTCTTCCAGGTTTATTGGTAGTCCCACTATAGCCTTTTACAATAAACATTTTAAAGGCTCTTCCAGCAACTTTCAAGTTTAAGATTTACTGCGGCATGTGCAGTGCCTCGCTTGATCCCTGCATGAAGTCATAGCTGAAACGAGTGATTGTCCAGGAGAGCTTAGGCTGCAAAATAGCTATCAATCTTGTCAGAAGACTTCCCTTGTATGCCACAACAGAGCCCTAGTACTTGTTTCTATTAACCCAGTTTTAAAGAAGTGAGGAGGAGGGTCGGCCTTGCTTCGTGCGCCATGATTTTTTACGCGGAGCTCTTCCTCTGCGGACAACAAAGATCCCCGAAAACGCCTGAGTGGACCCGAAGGGTGTGGCTGACAGGCCGTGGCTGACAGGCCCAGGGCGTAGCAGCTCCTTGGCTTGCTGCCACCTGACTGGCTCAGCGCCCAACGGGTCAGACAATCTTTTCCTCTTTGTTTTCCTCACCCACCATGTCAGCAACGACAGTCACGACAAAACCTGACGGGGGTGTGTGTGTGGCGGGAAGGGGAATCCCTAGTCAAAGCGAAGGAGTCAGCGTACTGGCTGAGGAGCCAGGAGTAACGGGACAAGGAGGGAAAGGCCGGAGGGGGAAAATGACAAGGGAGCGCGAGCGAACGAGAGAAAAAACCCTCCCCGCCCCTCGCCGACGCGCTTAAAACCCGCCTTCAGCCTCAACATCCGGGTTCTCGTTAACAACGCCGCTGCTGCCGCCGCCCGTACGCGGCTCTTTCTCTTTCGCGCTTCATTGAAGGGAACTGTCGGCGGCAAGCTCAGCCTTTTGCCTCGGCCGCGGGGGGTGGGGTGGTGTCGAAGGAAGGGAAAGGGGACGCGCGCCCAAGCGCGCACCTGCGTTGCCCGTGTGTGTGTGTGGGTACGTAGAGTGAAGATGGCGGCGGCGGCGGGAGGAGGGCGAGCCGGTTCCTCGGCTTCTCCCGGGCTGGGCTCCGGGTATACAAACAGCAGCAGCAGCAGCAACGCGGATTCGCGAACGGGGGGCGATGAGGACGACGGGCAGAATCTTTGGTAATGAATTCCCCCCTTCTCTCCCCTTCCCCCCCCCCGTTGCCTTGAGAAGGGACCGTTACTATCGGGGAGTTCCTCTTGTTAACCCCCTCCGGTAGCCCTTGTGCCTGTCCCCGATGCGGCGTGGGGGGGTCCCTCTCTTTCCTGCCGATCCCCTCGACCCTCCCCTGCTGGGGTGGGGGGTGTTTGCTCATGAGCGCCATGTTGCGGGTCTCCCCTGCCGCCCCTCTTCGCCGGGTAGGGTGTCTCCTCCGCCGTAACGCGCTTTTGCGTTTTTTTTTTTTACACACAATCCTGCCTTCCGTGGCTCCTCCGGTTCTGCTCCTGCTCCTCGCGGCGTGACAGGAGCAGGTGCCTTTCTCCTCCCCATCCCCTCCTCACCGGCTTCTTTGTTTTCCCTTTCCCACCACAGGTCTTGCATCCTCAGCGAGGTGTCCACTCGTTCGCGATCAAAATTGCCTTCGGGGAAGAACGTCTTGCTGCTGGGTAAGTATTCCCCCCCCCCGCGTTTTCTCCTCGGTATTTCATGGTTTGCTGGATTTCCTTTCTCCCTGACTTCTTATTTATTGATTGGAGAGCTTGGATCCGCGTGTCATGCGGTTAGAATGGAGGGCGCCGTGCAGACGACCGCGTTGGTTTTGTAGGTTGTGCCAGAAGGGAGGGAGGGTCAGGGGTGGCCGCGGCAGCGGCTCATTGATCGCTCCATTTCCTGTGCCTGCCTCACCTCTTGCAGGATCTGGTGGATTCCCTTCTAATGCATAACAATGCACAACGTTGGGTTGGTGTTTACATCCCTTTTATTCCTTTGCTTTTTCTTCATTTGTCAGAGTCAATGCTTTCACTGGAGTGTCTGAGAAAAACTGAGATTTGGGTGTGTGAGAATGCATTTAGACTAGAAACCATGGCCTTTTTTTGATGAGTTGTTTCATGAACACCATGTGAAGTCTGCATATGTACTGAATTGTGGTCTCTAGTTAGTTTCTTATAGATTTCAAGAGAGACTCCTAGGTATAGTATTTTTGCTTTGGCAACAATTTCCCTGGGCTCATGATGATATCTCATGAGTGCCCGGTAAGCTTGTTTCTTGAAATAGTAGACTAGTACTGTATGTCTGTTTCTGGATTAACCAACTTGTATGTTAAGCATTCTTATTGTTTGTTTACAACCCCTTGGAACTTATTTAATTGCATCAATACCAGCGGAAGAAATTTTGCTGGGGTTTCATGATTTGGAGTAAAATTGACTAGCTCATTGTCTGTGAAGATGATCAAATATAGTTTGTTAGATAGTCTTTCTATCAGCTACATTTTTTAAAAAAAAATGAGATTTGTGAATAAGCTATCTAGGCTGCAGAAGGGCAGCCTGAGAAAATTAAAAATCCTTTCTTTGGAAATAGTTAAACAGCACTATGTAGAAAGAAGGAACTTGCCTTTCAAACGTTGGAAATAAACTTTAGATGGATAACTGATGAATGTAAAATTCTGTCAGATATGTTAGAAATTTGAAGAAAAACACATTTTTTAAAAAGATGAAGTAATAGAGAGTAAAAGGGCTAGTGAAATGAAAGCAAATGAATTTAACTACCCAGTGTTTGCTAGCCTGTGTTTACAATCTTCTAAACACTTATTTGGTGTTTCCTCTGAATAAAACCAATTTAAATCACTTGTGATTGTTTCTGGATAGGCACAGATGACAGTAAAAATGTTTAATGTTACATTTATACCATTTTTAACCTGGAATACATGCCTCTTCCCCTCTTCATTTTATTCTCAAGATTGATGTATCAGTATATGTTTACGTATTCCTGAGACCAAGAATCTGTCACTGTTTTCCTGCACTGGCTGGCCAGGAGCAGGAGGACATTATGACATATCATCCCAGCATATGAATAGTGATCACAGTTTCGCTAACATGGCTTGCAATAAACAATAGAGATGAATGTGATTTCTTTAAAAATTGACTGCTCGTGTTAGTTTTTTCATTATCTGATGGCACTTAGCTTTTTCTTTATCTGATGGCACTGTTAGCTTCCCTTTCTGTAATGAACTAGATGCTACTTTTTTGCAATTCATACCTGACTGATCATGAAGTAGACTGGTAACAAGTAGTTAAAATGCCATATGAGGATAGTGTTATCTGTTTTAAACAACTGTATACAGTCGATATATAATCATGGTTAGGAGATTGGAAACATAATGTTGGATTGCATATTTGCCCTTGATTCCTGCTGTACTGGGAGCAATTCCATTCCAATCTACAGTGGACCCTTGACTTACAGACGGCTTGACTTACAGACTTTTTGAGTTACAGACTTCTCTGGCCGCAAAAGTTAGGTTTGACTTGCAGACTGAGATTTGACTTACAGACCAGAAAAAAACCAAAATGGAACAAAAACGGCCTGTTACGGGATTAATCGGTTTTCAATGCACTGTAGGTCAATGGAGACTTGACTTACAGACTTTTTGACTTGAGAACCGCCTTCCAATACGGATTAAGTTCTCAAATCAAGACCCCACTGTATTTCACTTAAGAGATATATTGGCATAAAGTTAACTGTGGTCTATATTGAGATTTCTGCTTATCTGAAGTCCAGATTAAAGCAAATCTTACAGTTAGCATTGGTGCCAGTGTGATGCCTAGTTGTGATGCCAGAGAGTGTTGGGACAGATCTAGTGAGGGTGAGCATGCAGCTCCAAATCGTATTCTGACTCTCTTACCTTATCTTAACTATCTGCCGTGTTTCCCTGGAAATTAGACAGGGTCTTATATTAATTTTTGGTCAAAAATGCATTAGGGTTTATTTTCAGGTGATTTTTTTCATGTATAACAATCTACATTGATTCAAATAAAGTCATGTCATCTGGTTGCTGCACAGTGATGGCGGGCGGGGTTTCACTTAACTGGGCCTTATTTCTGGGGTAGGGTTTATATTATGAGCATCCTGAAAAATCATACAGTACTAGGGTTTATTTTCAGGTTAGGTCTTAGTTTCGGGGAAACAGAGTATGTGAAGTTTAATAATGTTGTGTCTGTGCTAGGCCTTATGACTTATTCTTTCTACTGGCTTGTTCCTTCTTGTTCTTTCTACTGGTTTGTGCTTATGTGGTATTGATTCTTTTAAAACTTCTCAAAATACACTGTTAAGTGTATGTTGCAAAAAGAAGGCCCCTTGGAATCAAAACCTTTACTCTTACAATGGACAATATATATTCTAGCTTTTTCACTTTTTGCTTAATATCTACTTGTGCAGAAATTATATTTAAAGAAGGAATAGGTAACTGTTTAATGAATCATTGTAGAATATCAACAACTATCTTTCTTGCTATTTTAATACATTTCCAGGTTCAGATATAACCGTCTCAGATCATTGAATTCATAGTTTATTTGTCTGAGAATGGCTGAAAGTTCACATCATTATGTGTTTCAGTTTCTCTGCAGTAGAAGTGTGGGAGATTATTATTAATGAGTTAGGTTGTTTTTGTTATTGTATGTGTTGATGGCTGATCAGCTGAAAGGCTGTCTAGAAAAATATCAAGTTGTTAATTTTAGATTTGCTGGCTTCAGTATCAGTAAGCAGCCAGGACATCTTAAAAGTTAAATTGGATCCAGTCTAACTTAGTGACAGTTTGGGACCTTTTGAAATCAGTCTGAAAATTTAATTATGACTAGTGGCAGTCTCACTGATTTCATTTAGAAGTACGTAGTTTAGACAGCATGAAAAGTACATTTTTCTGTGGTGATTTCATTCCTGCAAATTTAAAGGCACTGGATGTAACATTTAATTAAACATTTACGGGGAGAGTTTTTCTAGCAATAGTATGTGGTATGTTTTAGGAATGAATGACTCTGAGTACAGAAGATAATTGAAGGTGAGAGGGGTAGCATTAACATTAGTGTTAACAGTTTTACGTTGAGCAGAAAATTATATTGCTGTGAAAGCTATTCACCAAATACAGTGGTGCCCTGCATAGCGATGATAATCCGTTTCGAAAAAATCGTTGCTATACGGTTTCGTCGCTATGCGGGGCAAAAAACCCCATAGGAACGCATTCAAACACGTTTAATGCGTTCCTATGGGGAAAAAACTCACCTTTAAGCGAAAATCTTCCATCCGGCCACCATTTTCGGTGCCTCTAAAGCAGGGGTTTTAAACTCAGTTTACCTGGGGGCTGCTAGAGGCAGAGTCTTGGTGAGGCTGGGCCGCATCAGATTTTCTGCCAAGCGGAGCAAGAACCCGAGGAAAGCTGCCTAGGAGTTTCCTTAGCTGACCGGTGGGCTGGCTGGCAGGCTGCAGTTCTGGATGGAGGGTGCAAGAGGTGCTGTCTTGGGAGAGAGCCGGCGAGCGAGGCAAGGTGTTTTTTTTTTTACTCTTGACAGCAGAGGAGGTGTGGGCGCTTTAGGAGGGCAGGCAAGGCGAGGGCCACAAACTATCATCTGGGGGGGCGCAAATGGCCCCCAGGCCGCATGTTTGAGACCTCTGCTCTAAAGCGAGGCAACACAGTGGGCGGCCATTTTGGAACCGCCGATCAGCTGTGCAAAAATGGGGCCTTTGGGATGATCCCGGGGGAGACCTCTGCACGGCCAGGGTGGCTGCGTGGTGCCTCAGTCTCCCTGCTAAGGCTGGAGGGGGGGAGAGAGCTCGCGCACCGAAGCACAGCTGATCGGCGGGGTTTGGGGAAGCTGGCTTCCCAGCGATCTTGCGATCTTCGCAAAATCCTGCCGATGAGCTGTGCTTCGGGGCTCTCTCTCTCCACCCCTCGCAACACAGCTGATCGGTGGGGCCTTTGGGATGATCTTGGGGAAGTGCTTCCCCACGATCATCGCAAAGTGATTTCCCCCATTTAGAACATCGCAATGTGATTGCTTTTGCGAGCGCAAAAGCTCAATCGCTATGCGGATTCATCGTTAAACGGGGCGCTTGTTAAATGAGGCACCACTGTATGTGTTTTGTTTATATGTTATAGGGCTGCCCTCTTTTGCGTAATATGAAGGATGGCCCCTTGAATTATTGAATTAAAGATCTTCTGCTACTCTTTAGTATTTCCTGTTTTACAATGCTTTTAATGTTACTACCCTAAGGAGATACAGTGGTGCCTCGACTTATGACCGTCCCGAGTTGTGACCAGCTCCGGCTGCAAAATTTTGCTTCGACTTGCAGCTGGAGCTTCGAGTTGCAATCAAAAGATGCAGGGAAAAAAGGTGGGGAATTAAAATTAGAGGACTAACTGTTGGTTGGGGAAGAGCTTCTTTGTAGCTTTTTTTTTAAAAGCTCCAGTGCCTTCCCAGGGCTGCTGTGCTTTTTGTTTTTTTGTTTGTTTTTTGTGGGGTTTTTTAAAGCCCCAGCGCCTTCTGACGGGGCTGTTGTGTGCTCTTTTTTTTGTGTGTGTGTTTTTCTTTAAAGCCTCAGTGCCTTCTGATGGAGCTGCAGGCTTTATTTATATATCCTTTTGCAGGAATTTGTATCAGCAAGGCAAAAAAGAACACCT